AGACGTTTTCTGTCTCACTACTTCGCAAATCTAAGGAAGGCATCTCAGGCAACACTCATTGGCATTGCTGGCCCGATGGCATTCATGGTGCCAAGTGGGACCATGTGCTCAGAACCAAGGCTACTATAAAGTCATACTGTGCTACACGGGCCAGCCTTGCCAGAGGCACTGTGGGTTCATCATGTGTTTGATACTGAGTGAAGTTTTGGTCACTGTGTATTCATAAGCCCTTTATTGTTAATGAATTATTCATGACTGCACTTCAGTTATGTGACCAAGGGTTATGACCTCCAGTTTATAGGGTCCCGGATTGATCATAGTACCAAAAATATGCTGTAGTAGCTTTGTTTCTCAGACTAGAAAAAGCTTCAAATAGGCAACCCAAAGTGCAGAGTCTAAACCTCATACAATGAACACCAGGAAACACAAAGTGTGCCGCTTAATTTTCTACCCCTAGACAAATTTTAAAAAACATTGTTTCATTAATGGTGTCATTTACATTGTACTCATAAAGCCAGTCATTTACTTGGCCTTTCTCATTCAGAAATGTGTGTGTGTGTGTGTGTGTGTGTGTGTGTGTGTGTGTGTGTGTGTGTGTGTGTCATTACCCACTTGTTCAGGAGAAAATTACATATGATGACAGTCTACAAATTGCATTCCTTAATAATAAATAACCAGAGGGAGAGGTGAAGCCTTAATCTTTAATTTAAAAAGACACAAGAAAATTCATGACAAGAATATGCATGCACTTAATTTTCGCTTTAAAACGCATGAAAGACTTTTAACACATTTATAATGTATTACAAAGGCAGCATTTATCAGTTGTGTTAAAAAATAAAAGGAATTAGCTATTTATAGCTACAGACCAAATTGTGAATTTGAATAGCCTTAGCTTCAGAAATTATTTATATTTTCTGAGATATGTAAGTTCATTCCATAATTATATTACATATTATATTTACAAGTAACTTAACTGTAGTTCTCCTTGTGGAACCATCACATCATGACTAAGAGAAGCCTAGATTTGGAGCCAAGGACTTAGAGATGAGGACAGTCTTAGAAACCAGGCTTATTCCTAATCAATTGTATTCCCATCTCACTGGGACTGGTTGACTAAACAAGCTAGAATTTAGAGATCAAGTAGAGGCTAAAAGTACAGATTCATTACATTTCAGTTATAATTTATCAACCCTGATTCTCTCAATTTCTTTTTTTCAGTTTTTTGTGAGACTAATATAACTTAACATCATCAGTGTCTAGCGGCAGCTAAAGATGTTGGTAAAGTTCTTAGTGTACCTGACTGACTGACCATTGAGGGATGCAAGCGACAGTCATCATTGCCGTCTTTATCCTGATGGACATGACTATTTTTCACTTACACTCTTTCAGCTACACAGTATGAATAAGAGTTGTCTCTTTAGCAAATGCCAGCCACCTCCAGTACTACATAACATTTAGAATTATATAGACACAATTGTTTCCCCCTTTTCCTGTGGAGACAGCAAAAGTTATCCTGGTGCTTGGATGCCACGAACTGTCCCGCTGTGTCAGCTATAGTACCTCTGTCATGCTATTTCATCTTCACCCACTTTAGGTAGAATATTGACAGAACATGGCTTTCTGGATCCCCCAGTCCCTCTGACTGTCTAAGTCTTTTCTAAACTCATCCTAATTTTGATGGAGTCAGCTTTTGTGAAGTTCATTTTCTTTATTCTTAGGATTTTGTAAAGAATTCACCTTCACCTTCTAATGATACACAGAGAAACCCTGTCTCAAAAATTAAAAAAGCCAAACAAACCAAAACCAAAACCCCAAACCAACCAAACAACTATAACAAAAAGAATTCACCTTTAAATTAAAGAGTTGTGAAACTACTTTCAAAGAACCCAAATTTTAGTTTGGATGTTTTAGACTTAGAAATATGTTTAATACATAATGTAGATATGGGTGTTGGAGGAAGGGATGATTTCTCAGCTACGCATTTTGTTTTTGTATTTAAGTATTTTAAAATCTATTTCCAAGGGTCTTGTTTGCCTGTGGTTGTGTATGAGAACTGAGAGTGAGGGCTATGGTGGCAGCCAGCTGAGAAAAGCTTAACAAGAACAAGCAGGTTGGGGGGCAGAAGAAAGATGGAAGGACAGATGGGAATAGGGACAGGAAAGTAATGAAGAAAAGGGAAGAGGGGAAGAAGGAGCAAGGAAGGGTAGCAGGGAGGGAGAAAGGGACACTCCATACTCTGTGCTCAGGTGTCTACATCAGGAGGCTCCCCTATGTGTTTGTACAGAAAGCCTTACCCCAGCTGTCTAGAGGGGGTTGCTTGTTCTCCCAGTAAGTGAGGACGGCTTCAATAAAACACGGTTAGTGAGCCTGACTGAGCAGCCCCTCCGGTATTTGTTACTGGAGAACAGAGCTAAGAGCTGTGCAACTGTATGAAATCACTGGGAGCCAGGCAGATGATCAGATGTTCCTGGAGGGGGTGTCAGGTCTGCTGTAGTAGTGTAGTAGTGTAGGCAGACCAGTGTACACAGCTGTAGTATTGTGTCAGGTCAGGTCACAGATGCCTCTTGGAATGTGAACACATATTCTTGGACATCAAATTCATTGATTCCTTCCTAAACAAAGGTTTAGAGATTGGCTTTTTGTCAGCATTTCTAAAAAAAAAAAGAAAACAACATAAACCTGGTCCTGTTTTGTGGAACTAAATGAACCGGTAGCTGAAAAATAGACTGACTAAGCGTCAGAAGCAAAGGTACTATGGATGTGAGATTGACCTCACCTTAGCAAGCAGAGGCTGTGATTATTCTATTGGGCCTCCTGTCACCTGTAGGAAGCCTTCTCTAATAGGAAAGTTTCAAAGCCAGAGGGTGTAGGCTTTACCGGACACCAGAGGAGCAGTTTTTCAGTGGCCGAACCGGAAGCCGAACTCCAGGAAAAGAGAGCGAGACTTCCTGTGTGCTGTCTTTTATGCCTTCCCCCGTAACGCCCCTAGCCATGCCCAAAAGTGGGCCTGGCTAGTGACGTAGTTCCGCCTACGTACGTATACGTCTTTAGTCCTGCCTAAAGTGGGTGTGGTTAGCAGTGTGGTAAACCGCCCTTTTATTACCTCATCTGTATGCGCCTCTAATAAGTCACATGTTTAATGGCGGCATCAGACTTCCTCCTACAAGAGGGCTAAAGAAGAACATTGGTTCTCTATGGTCTTTGCTCAATAAAAAGTATCAGTGGGACTGACACAGGGTTGCTGAGGGTGTGTGCTGACTTCCCTTGAATGGCCAAAAGGGGTTGTCAGTGAGACTGGGGGAACAACAATCTAGATACTGGACCTTAAGAGATCACCAAAGAAACCTGGACTTTTCTTTATCTACCATATCTCATCCTGAGTTTTATAGTTCCTGTGGGTTTTCTTTTTTTGCTGTTTAATCTTATGCATGTGAATGCTTTGCCTGCATGCATGTCTGTGTACTACACGTCTGCCTGGTGCCTAAGGAGGAAGGAAGAGGACATCAGATCCCCTGGATCTGGAGTTAGAAATGGTTGTGAGTCACCACGTGGGTACTTGGAATTGAACATGGGTCCTTTTGAAGAATAGTCAGGATTCTTAACCACTGAGCCATCTTTCCAGCCTGGAATCCTTATTCTTATTTCACTAATATGAGCTTTAAGAAGATTTTTTCTGTTTTTGTGTCCACATTCTTCTTAGTCAGTGAGAATCACACAGATCTCTGCTTTTCCCCAGAGCAGGTGTGAGTTGACAGAGTCTTGCCCACTGCTCTCTATTAGATTTTGAAAAGGCCTGCACATGTCTGACCTCCAGCCCCACTACTTAACACGTGCCCAGTACCTTCCATCACGTTTCAAAATACTACTATTGTTTAGGGTACTGTACCCAGCATGGTTTGGTCTCCAGTCAACTGTGTCTTCCACCATTTCTCTCCTCCATTAGAGTCTAGTCACACAGGCTTTAGTTTTGTTTGGCTGCCCAAAGCTCTTGCCTAGCTCAGGATTTTACCACTTACAATGCTGCTGCATTTGATGTCTGCTCCAGTATCATCTTCTCTAACACCTTCTTACCTAAAGCGATCTAAAGTAACTCATCCCTGTAGGACCTTTCTGGCAATAATCCTCACTCACATACACTTTTTATAATCTTCCTATGTGTTTGGTTACATACAATATATTTGCTGTCCTACATCTCACTGAAACATCACTCCTCAGAGCAGTCACACCACTTGTGATACTGTGTTCTCTACTAAAGAAAAAGTTTGCCAGAGTATTCTTAAGATGTGCATTGTGGTTCTCAGCACCAGATGGTTTCAGAACCACCCATGAGGGTACAGTCAACTTTTTTTATCATTTGTCCAAGAAAAAGAGCACTGCAGTCACTGTGATTGCTCCCAACCGCAGACAGGGAATGAGAGCTGCTGTTTTCCATGCATCTACTCACTGAACTCAAGGACTAAAGTTCACACTGTAGGTGGTGTTTGTAGTTGCTAAACTAAATAAAGTGAGCTCTGCCTTAGATGGACCCTGTAGGCATGGACTTCATTTTACAGTGACTTTCCCTAAAGCTTTTTTAGTCTGCTCCCTAGGGAGTGCTGCCATGCCTTTGAAATGTTCTCCCCAAGAAAGGAGAGATTGCCAGTATGAAATGGTCAAATGCATGTCAGTTAGTAGATGTACTTCCATTTTTAAACTTTATTTGTGTGTGTGAATGTGTGTATGTGTGTGTGTGAGTATTTGTGTGTTTGCATGCACATGTGTGCATGCACAGATATGTGCAGGTTCCTGATTGGCCAGGAGAGGGTGTCTGATTCCCTGGAGCTGGTGTATTAGGCAGTTGTGAGTTGCCTAATGTGGGTGCTGGAAGCTGAACTCTTCTTCCTCTGGTGGAGCAGAATAGTAAGTGCTCTTTATTGAGGAATCATAGTTCCATTTCCAATTAGATTTACTTTGGAGGGCCACTAAGATAAAGCTACTGCTTTTAACTTTCTGTGTAATAGGTCAGTTTGGCTCATCGGTGGCCTCATACTTCTTGTTCCTGAGGTGGATGTATGGCGTTAACATGGTTCTCTTCATCCTGACCTTCAGCCTCATCATGTTACCAGAGGTAAACTTCGACATCTGACTTGTAAGAGATACTGAAACAAAGTTTTAAGTGCTTTCTCATCCTCCCCCTACCAGAATAATGTGACTAACTAGCTATGGTCATTTCTTAAGTGATAGGATTTACAAGCTTACCCTTCAAAATAGTACCCACAGCCAAAGGTCCTAATTCTTGCTCCAAGGGTATGTGACTCTCATATATCATGCTGTGTTTATGTCTAAGTGTGTACTTTAGGTGGGAAAAATCATGACTTTAATTAGAATCACATTGTTTGTGCCCCAATGTTGAACACTATTGGTCAGTGGGATGCCTACTGAGCTCTGTTTATTTTGTCAAATTTGCTTTCAAATTTATTCTTCACACAATTGAACATTATAGCTTCTCTAAACTGGAGGAGCACAACACCAGTAGCATTTTCCTAAAATAAAGTGTTGCCTGTCTCATGCACACAGTTGATGGGGTCAGTGGTCATGGAGTTCTTTAAGATGAAAATAAGGAAAATAGAGGGCTTGGACTGAGGAAGAAACAAAACCCTGAACTAATGTGGGGAAGACTGAGTGGAGGCCAAACCACCAGGTTGCTTGCTGGCTTCAAGCCCATGAAGCAGCTCAGATGTCTTAGGGTGCTGCATATCCTTCAAAAGCTGGGTGAGAGTTTGTTTAACCCACAAAGAACATGTTCTGGTACCAGTATTTTATAACCAATTTGTTCAATGCAATATTGTCAGTGGTGAAAGTTGGGTCATTGAATGACATATCTACCCAGTGTAAAGTCAGTGAGGTCTCTTACATTTGTCATAAGCTTCCTTGTCAGCTGAATAATATTGCCTTACAGTCAGTCCTAAAGAGATGCAGGCTTCCCACAGAACAAAATACTTTTACCTTCTGTATACTGAGCTCACAAGTTCCTGAGGAGATTGTAGGGACTTTCCACCCCATTTGAAATAGCCCCAGCCACTGAATTAGGTGCTAGGTAACTTAGTAACAATAGCTAAGTTATTTAGTATTTTATGATACTGTATTATATTCTTCTATTACTCAGATTTTTCATTTAGTCAGCTAGTTTTATAATAATTCCCATGACAATTCTGGGGCTTCTAAGTCTGGCTGAGAAGACAGTGGGAATAGATTCTTTCCCAAGTTAAAAATTTCAGGCAGTGTAGCCAACTGTGTGCATCTCACCCATTTCAAATGAAGGCTTACTTTATTTTTACTCATCTATCTAAGGAAACATGAAACTCTGCACTCCATGCCTGCCTACTGCTCCTCTCCTTGGCTTCAGAGGCAGGTAGAGCTGGAGTCTTTTCCCCATGTGCTCTGCTAGCTCTTCACAGAGGAAATGAAAAGCTCTTGGTAATTCCTTTGAACTCTACAAACTTATGTAAAGCACATTGTGCATGCTGATGGAATGAGCTGGAACAGTCCTGCCTTTGGATACCTGTTCATGTTCCTGTGCATGTGTGTTAGTTACTAAAGGGCACCTTGTTTTCTGGTGATGATTTCTAACTCCTGAATAGGAACAAAAGAGGATGCTCTCCCTGTGTGTTAACTGAGCAGAAACACCAAAGACCAGAGCTAAGCATTTCCCAACCGCATGGTCATATTTCACAGCTGCCTTTACCCAACAGCCCCACCTAGCATTGTTCTTTTGTCCCAGATTACCTGTCTCTTTGCAAGCCCAGTACCTCAATTACCTTTTATTTCTATGCTTCTCAACTTTGGAGTGAAGCTGTGCATGGAGAAAGCACTTCCCATCCTGTTCAGTCCGGAAAGTCAAAGTAGCCAGAGAGCTATAGTGGAAGAGTATGCCATTTGTACACAAGGCATCAGCGGGACCTAATCCTTACCCTTTGGCTGGTCAGCCTCTGCGCTCACATTTAAACTGTGCTTACTAACTCCCTAGGGGGCAGGGGGAGAGGGTTCACTTCACATATGAAGCAACTTTTGCTTGGCCAGCTGTGGGGGATGAAGGATGCTTCATGAATCCATCCTATGACCCTACTCTTGCCCTGTACCTAGTTCACAGCTCCCCGTGCTGTTCTCTACTGCATGGCTTAGCTCCTTAGCCCATAGCACTGATGCAGATGGAAATGCACAGGCGCTCCTGTAATCAGTATGTGAGTGTTGGCTCCCAGTAGATGCCCCTCTGATTAATTACAAGGTTGATTTTCCTGAGGCTTTAGTTCCTTCCAATGGACCCTCCTCTGCTAAGAGGAGCTCTCATATGAAACCATGGCTAGTATGCTTTAGATGAATACTGTGGTGCCCCCCAGGACTACCTCTTCTCTTCTAAATGTGGCTCCTGTTATGTTAGTAAGTGGAGGGCTTCACAACAAGCCTCCTGGAGACTGATGTTGGCCTGCTTTGCTCTTCATCCAGTGAATGCAGGGTGTAGGGTCTTTACTTCTTTTGTTCTTAATTCTGGACTTAGTGGATTCCCGGAAAACAAGACCCCACATGGAGACCCACAGAGTCCAAATGAAAACCTTTCAGAAGGGGTTTAAATGAAACCATTTGTGATCACATGTGTAGCTCAGATTTTGTGTTCAATTGTTAACTGCTCTTTTTGCTTCTACTAGTACCTCTGGGGATTACCATATGGCAGCTTACCTAGGAAAACGGTCCCAAGAGCTGAAGAGGCATCTGCAGCCAACTTTGGCGTATTGTACGACTTCAACGTAAGTGTTTCTACACAGAACTGTCCATAGGGGAACAGCTTTTCTATGCTGCTGTTTCCTGAAACATGAAGGCCTCGTACAGGGCTGGAAGAATGTGTTAAGAGAGATCTTCCCACCTCCTGTTTGTAAAAGACTATATATGGAGAAGTGTGTGTGTATGTGTGTGTGTGTGTGTGTGTGTGTGTGTGTAAGGTTTACACACATTATATGATTATATAGGAATATTGAGTATGGACTAAAGGTGAGCTCAGATCCCAAAGATTTAAATCAAATATTATTTTCCCTTTGGAAAAGAACTAAGGAAGAATTTTCAAATGTGCTTTTTGAAAAATCTTATGGGATTCTTTGGGCATTCATTTTTCTACTTCATATCAAACTCTTCACAATCATACACAAAATTCATACCTAATATTAATTAATAGTCACTTCTAAATGAAGTTAAACATTTGCAAGCTGAGAAATAAGTACTACTTCATTGTAGTTTTGAAATAAATACTATTTATTTCTATCATAGTACTAAAGTTAATCTTATTCAATACCAGTTGTCAATTTAACTGGCTTGGGGAGAGAGAACCTCAACTAAGAAATTATCTCTATCAGATTAACCTGGAACATTTTCTTGATTTATGATTGATGTGGGAGGGCTCTGTGGGTAGTGTTATCCCTGGTGGGCTTGGGATGTTTAAGAAAAACAGATCTGGCACCAGTGAGACCTCTAGTGATCTAAAGGGAAGACACCAACTGTCAAGCTAAGCAATAATGGAGAGACCACCTCAAATGCCCATTCCTGATAATGAACTTGATGTCTATAACCATCCTGGGCCCTTCATACAGTGACTGATGGAAGCAGAGGTAAACACCCACATTTAAACACTGAACTGAACCCAGTGAGAGAGAAGCGATGAGCAAATTGGCAAAGAATGGGCTGGCAAAACCAGCAGAGGCAGCTAATCTGAACAGGGGAGAGTGCTTGGACCCCAGACCAACAGCTGGGAGGCCAGCATGGGACTGATCCAGACCCCTGAATGTGAGAGTCAGTGAGGCCTGGGCAACCTATGAGGTCAAAGGCAGTGGATCAGTGTTTATCCCTGGCATACAAATGGACTTTGTGTGTCCATAACACAAAGAGGGATGCTCACTCAGCCTGGACTCTTAGGTGAGTGCCTGGCCCCTGCCCTGAGTGAAATGACAGACTCTAGATATCTCCTATGTGTAAGGAAGTGGCAATAGGGTGGGAGGCTGGGGGGGGATGGTGGGGGGGTGCTGGGGGAGGGGAGGGAGAGGGAGCTGGGATTGACATGTGAAGCAAGCTATTTAAAATTAAAATAATAAAAAAGAAAGGCAGCAAATCAGGAATGCCCACAGGCAGCATTCCTTCATATATTTCTACATTTTAAAGTTCCTGCCTCCAGGTTCCTGCCTTGAATTCTGCCCTGGCATTCCATGATGATGAACTACAACTTGTCAGCTGAAATAAATCCTTTTCTTCCTAAGCTGGTTTTGGTTACTGCTTTATTAGAACAATACATAGCAAGTTAGAACATTTAATTACTATAGCACTGTCTATATAGTTTGACTGTAGTCTAGCCCTCATCTCCCAGTGTCACACAACTATTGCATCTATTTCTTTTTTTATGGTTTTGCCTTTTCTAAAAGGAATTCCTTTTTTTTTGAAGGAGTAAATGCAATCATATCATTGCGTGTTTGTCTGATATCTTTCATTCATTATATTTTAGATTTACTCATGCTACATGTGCATTATGATCCATTGCAGAGAACACTTCATTGCATGGATTTAATTTCCTCTGTTTATCTATTCACTGATGAATGATGTGTTTCCCAAATGTTTTGTTTATTTTGAATATTTCTACTGTGAGTATTTGCATGAATGCTGTTTGTGGACACACACTTGCATTTCTGTTAAGTAGGTAGGTCTGAGTGGAGTTACTGAGTATATTTGTGCCTATTGGGGAGTTATTGGAGTCCAGAGTAGTCACACAGGAAGTGTTTCCACAGTAGGTCTTAAGGATAATACTACTCCACGTCTTTAACAGTTGACCTTCTTAATTCTTTGTGATTCTAGTATTCTCCATTGAAATTGTAATTTCTTTGTAACTTTAATTCATATTTTCTTATCGCATATTGACAGCAGAGTTGCATATATTATGGGGTACAAAGTCATGTTACAATGTTTTACTGTAAGATAAAATGATTAAATCAAGCTAATTAACCTATCATGGATGTCTAATAATCAATGATTTTTGTCATGAGAACATATGAAATTTAGTGTCTTAATAATATTTAAGTGCACAGTACTTCAGTATTCAGTTATTTGCCATGTATATTGTGTTTTGGAATAGATATAAAAATCTCATATATATTCTTCCTGCCCAAATGAGGTTTTGTATCCTTTAATTATCATTCCTCAGATCCTCCCTTTTTAGCTCTGGAAGCTCCGTTTTACTTCTTGTTTCTTTGTGTTTGGTTGATTCGATTGCACATAAGTGAGAACATGTGGTATTTGTCTTTCTGTTTGGCTTAGAAAGCAAACAGCAGTTAGGAAACAGAATGGCTGTGCAAGGCTTATTGTATCAGACAAGGCTAGATTTGTGATTAGGGCAAGGTAATGAGAGGTCTTTTGTATTATAGTAACCAAATAAATAAATTCAGTCAGACTCTAATGAGGATTCACTGAAGGATCCATGGGAAATAAAATTAGAAAATTACTCATTGAATATGATTATTCCTACAGAAACATTAATATTGTTACTTTATGAGATGTTTAACGTTTATGGGTCTTGAGGCTTGAGAACTGTTGTCTGCATTGTTTTCTTCAAAGATTTTATTCTGACTTTGGCAGGGAAAGAGTTTGACTAATGTCAGGAGTATTCTGGGTTTTTTTTCCATTTGTGTCAGGAGAAAGAATTCATTCACCCTAGTATAAACAGAAATGAGTGGGATGGTAATAGTTGCATAGATAACTATGTAGATAATTATAACTATAGATTAATAAATAACAGAGTATATCTAAAGTAGTAACTTAACAACCAGAAGATAATTTTATTTATAACTAATCCTGATTCTAGGAAAGGTGAGCTTTACCATCCCCGCTTTCTAGTTGGGAAACCTTAGTTCTCCTGGGCTTTGCAATTTTCCCTCAGTTGTTCTTGTAGTAAATGATAGGGCTGGGATTCTTAGCACAACTCAGAAGCCTAGAAGTTGTCTCTATGTGTACTGCCAGAGGCTCCTGAGGTAACTAGAATTGTTAATAGGAATGCAAAAATAAGAGAATTTTATACACGGAATTACTGTAGAAACCATCTACCCCATGCCCAACATTAGACATGGGGAAAAGTGAGCTCTGGGTCTTTGGCTGAGTAAGCCCTAATCTAATTTTCTCCTCATGTCCTATGTGCCAGCAGCAACTTTTCTGTTCTACTTCTCAGTAGAATTCTCATGGCTTTTCTTGAAAATTAACTGGCTTTGTTCAATGCTGTGCCTACCCCAGAGGGAAGGAATGGAAGTGATTTGATCCCATTTCCTACTTAGACAGCAAACTTGTAATTTCCAAATCAGGTCCTCAAATGGAAAGGCAGACTTCTTATTTTTTGCCTGAGTTTTGACTTGATCATCTGGACAGTGACTTCACAGAGGGCTTTTCTCTATTTCATGAGGTGAGTCCAGAATCCCATCATGCCTCCTCAGAGGGAAACAGAGGAAACCCTTCTGGCTTCCAAAGAAGTACCAGGAAGGAAAAGTGTATTCAGGTCCAGGGCAGAGATGACTGGTAGACAGACAGTTAGGCCATGGGTTAGATAGTTTCTTCCAGGCAAAGGAAGGAAAGCAAACCCTTAAGTCTGCATTTGCAGAACATTAAACGTAGATGCAAGTATGACCTCTTGTGGTAGGAAAATCTATTAAATAGAAAGGGTCAGAAAAACTGGGAAAGAGTAGGAAAGGTCTACTGAACTAATGTTGTGAACCTCATTTGGGAGTCTCGGCACTTCCATTCTGGCTCAATTCTGTCACTTGAAAGCACTTTCTTCGACTCATCAGGCCCTCTAATTAGTAGCAGACAAGTAGCATGTGACACATGTGAAAGTAACCAGTTTCATGATTCCTCAGAATCACAAATTATCATTCACAGAGCAATATAGTTTTGAACCTTTTATTGAGTGCCAAACAATAGGTTTTACTGTTCAGGGGGGAAATCTATTTATTAAATTTGCAAGAAATAGACTATCTAGTATGTATGCTATAAACCAAATAGGCAGAAATGTTATAATTGGAATTAGTAGAATTAAAAAAAGGAATTTAAGTCTGTGTTAATCATCATCCTGTCATTACAAGGACTTATCTGAGATAATTTATATAGTGAAAAGGTTTACTTTGTTCATGATTCTGGAGAGTCTGTTCCAAGGTCAGACAGACCTATGACTCTGGATATCTGGTGCAGGTGCTGAGTGACAGTAGTAGGGAGTGGGTTGTGGAGGATACTGCTCATCTTCAGCCTCAAAGCAGAAGAGCAAGAAGAGACCATATCCTTGAAGAGTTTGCTTCCTGACTATTCACAATGAGGAGCTCTCCTTAGAGACTATCTCCCAATGGTACTTGCCTGAGGACCTTTATTACATGGGCTTTGTGGGCAGGTAGTCAAGATGCAGACTACAGCAATTGGGAAGACAGAGGATGCTGCTGTTTGCAGGATACTTGGAGACATAGGGATGATGTGGCAAAGAGGGAGAAACCATGGTTTCAGTAAGGAGAAAGAACATGGAACGAGGCTGGAATTTGCAAGGTTTTTAAGCTGACAATAGACATTGAGATCACGGCATTGAAAAAACATGCTTAGAATAAAAGGGAATGCAGTCAGCTTTTTATCTTGAGGATGTCTTGTTCAGTGTGGATGGCTAAACAGTATGGAGGAGTTGATTTTGCCTTCTGTTTTCTACCCGTCATAAGGATGTGGGAGTTAGACGCCTTTAAAGGGCCAGGAGAGA